AAACGACCAAAATATATTTTTAAAAATGTATAATTAAATGCCACTTTGAAAGGCGATTTAGCTCATTTTTCATTACAAAGCTCGAGTCTTACAATATGAATTACAGATATTATCAAATTTATCTTTAAAATGCAAAGGCTATTTTGCTTCGTTTTTAAAGGGCTTGGGGCGCTAGATGTTAATTAACTTTTTATATTGCATATGGCATTTTCTCTAAGAATAAAAATTAAGAAAAATGTTATTCCCCACATATTAACAAAGTACTGAGGATAAAATAGTGACACACCGAGTCACTGTTCTCAATTCTGAAACTTTACCATCTAGCTAATGAGACAAACAAAAACGTATAGTAACAGGTGGTATTACAAAAAGAGATTTGAATAAGTTAATGCACTCTTATACATAGGATGAGCTTACCCTGATTATAAAGTAATTAATATAAATACCTGTATTGTTTTTCCAAGTCCCATGTCATCACCGAGAATACACCCTCTTCCCTGGATGTAGTGTCCGTAGAGAAACTGAGCTCCCTCTCTTTGGTAATCGCGCAAATACCTATTAATAGTGTAAGGAATGGAGTCTCCATCTTCAGATAATTTAAAAGCATTAGCCAATGGTGGAATTTTTCGATCTGGGAAATAAGGTTTTTCCAAATCTTCATCATCAAATATAAAACTTCTGGAGAAATTTTTAGCTGATTTTACTTCTTGAAGTCTTTGAAGAGGTATTTTCTTTTCCTGAAAATCTGCATACAGGACAATTGCACATGGCTTCCCATCTTCATCCACAGTGATAGACTTTATGGTTGCTTCACAAAGCTTTTTCTCATCTGAAGAAGGAGCAAGACATCTTTCTCCTGGATACCACCTGTCTATAAGAAGAAAGAAAATTAGCTTTTCTAAAAGCTCACGAGGTCATACCTCATTTATCTGAGAAAAGAAAATATAACATGTTTTCCAAATAACTTAAACAAAATAAATATTTATTTTCATGCATATTTTTCTAAAATATATTATCAGATGTATTCCTATAAAATTGATCTTGATGGTCAACCAGAGCTGAAATCCACTGATTTAAACATTCTTTCTGATTCATAAATATTATACACATTCTCCTTATATGATACAGCAAGAGAAACAGATACAGTAAAGAGTAAGCTGGAATCTTCAGGAAAGCAACTCTGTGACATGAGCTTTTTGTTTACTCCATCCTTCTCTGAACACTGGTATGTAATAGGCCAAGGGAACCTCTTATCTGACTACAATGACACCACAACCATTACAGCTTATCTATTTTGGGTGTTGAATATTTTAAACTGTAAGAGAGGGCTCTGAAAAGTATTTGAAGCCATTGCAGAACACCAGGGTTCAATTCCCAGTATTCACACAGTGGTTCATAACCATTTATAACTCCATTCCAAGTTATCCAACACCCTCTTCAGATTTCCCTGGGTGCCAGGCAAACATGTGGTACACATAAATACACGGGCAAAACACTCATACACCTTAAATAAAATAAGTCTTGAAAAGAGAGACAAAAATGAGTCCTAAGAGCCCTTTGTAAGATCCTGCCATTACTGAAGATACTGATTTCTATGCACCTGAACTCACTCTTTGTTAACTATTCAGCCAACTGTCTTTTTTTCTCTTCTGAAGACAGCATGAGTGGGGAGAGATTTCCTAGAATATACTACTAAGCAGCTTAAGGAGAACAAAATGGAGAACACTAAGAAAAGGTAATTTTTCCAAATGGAATTCCTCATTGAAAGGATCTAAGAAATTATACGGCTATAACTGTAAGGATACTGGGGATTATTTTTCTTACACACTCCTCACTGATACCACAAGACCATCAGTGCTTTCCTAGGATCTTCCTGAGAAGTTCCAGTTAGAACTTCAAAACATTTCTGGTTATAATGAGAGGTATAAGCTGTCTTAAGCAGGAATAACTCACCGTGATGGTCTTCATCAATTATTCCTCAAAAGCATTATTCCCACTAACTTTGCTGAGGTGGTTTTACTATAGTCATCCTAAGTACACATGAAAAAAACATGTTCTCCCACTCTATTCTTAAGATCCAAACTGAGAACTGTTATTCTATTATGAAATTAACCCTACTTTACTGTCCAGGCACGAAGGGTGGGCAGGTCCAAGTGTCTTCTCTCTGGGACAGCGCTAGCTGAGCCTGAGCTAACGATACCATGGCAGTTCCTAACACATAATTTCTGTTTTAAATGATGCATCTGCCTCTGATTTTTAAAACCTAATTCCTTAATTTGACACTCAACATACATGATTTGAACACTGATTATTTATCAGACACTGTACCACATAATGGGTATAAAATGAAGAACAATGTCAAAGAAAGGTAGTGAGTAGTTTCCCTGCATCTTATTTCCAGGGATCATTTATGGATATTAATCCACACACCTTAGAACACCTGATTTTTGACAAAGAAGCAAAAAATATCAAATGGAAAAAAGAAAGCATACTTAACAAATGGTGCTGGCATATCTGGATATCAACATGTAGAAGAATGAAAATAGATCCATATCTATCACCATGCTCAAAACTCAAGTCCAAAGGATCAAAGACCTCAACATAAAGTCAGCCACATTGAAAATCATAGGACAGAAAGTAGGAAGTACATTTGAACGCATTGGCACAGGAGACTACTTCCTAAATATAACCCCAGTAGCACAGACACTGAGAGAAACAATTAATAAATGGGACCACCTGAAACTAAAAAGCTTCTGTAAATCAACATGGTCAACAAGACAAACGACAGCCTACAGAATGGGAAAGATCTTCACTAACCCCACATTGGACAAAGGGCTGATCTCCAAAATATACAAAGAACTCAAGAAATTGTTCATCAAAAGAACAAATAATCCAATAAAAAATGGAGTAGAGACCTAAACAGAGAACTCTCAACAGAGGAATCTAAAACGACTAAAAGACACTTAAGGAAATGCTCAACATCCTAAGTCATCAGAGAAATGCAAATCAAAACAACTCTGAGATTCCATCTTACACCTGTCAGAATGGCCAAGATCAAAAACACTGACGACACTTATGCTGGAGAGGTTGTGGGGTAAAGGGAACACTTCTGCATTGCTGGTCAGAGTGCAAGCTGGTACAGCCTCTTTGGATATCAGTATGGCGATTTCTCAGAAAATTAGGAAACAACCTTCCTCAAGACGGAGTAATACAACTCTTGGGTATATACCCAAAGGATGCTCAATCGTACCACAAGGACATGTGCTCAACTATGTTCATAGCAGCATTGTTTGTCATAGTCAGAACCTGGAAACAACTTAAATGCCCCAAACCAAAGACTGCATAAGGAAAATGTGGTACATTTACACAATGGAGTACTACACAGCAGAAAAAAAAATGACATCTTGAAATTTGCAGGCAAATAGATGGAGCTAGAAAACATCATATTGAGTGAGGTAACCCAGACCCAGAAAGACAATTATCATATGTACTTACTCATAAGTGGTTTTTAAACGAAAAGCAGCCTACCAATCACAATCCCAGAGAACCTAGACAACAATGAGGACCCTAAGAGAGACATACATGGATCTAATCTACATGGGAAGTAGAAAAGGACAAGATCACCTGAGTAAATTGGGAGAATGGGGACCATGGAGAGGGTTGAAGGGGAGGGGAGAGAGAGGGAGGGGAGCAGAGAAAAATGTAGAGCTCAATAAAATCAATAAAAAAAAAGTTCTACTTATTTGCCTTTAGCAGACAGACTCACAAAGGCATTTATATTTGTGGGCCCTTAATTATGATGACTTTATCAATTTATAGCCCCGGAGTTCAGGGCTTGTTGCCTACTCTGAGATTTAGCACTGGATCCCGCCTTGCTTTCATGAGAGACCTTCCTCAAAGGAAAAAGCAAAATTTATCAGAAGATTCCTGGGCAACAAACAGTCAACTGTATATCCATTCTGTAAGGTCTATAGGATGCTCCACCTGTAAGCCAACTGGCTGCTAACACTGGTGGCCTGGGCTCCATGCCCACAGCTCACAAGGTGGAAGGAGAGAACTGACGTGCTCAAGTTGTCCCCTAACGTACACATGCCTGGTGCGTGCACACGCAGGCATACACAAAACGGTTTTTAATCAGTTATAGCAATCACTGTAATTAATATAAGTTAGGGGGCAAGCCTGCATCCTGATACTTATGAAATAAACATGCCTTCTTCAAAAACTCTTGGTGGTCTACTAGAGGCAGAATTCGCGGCTTCAATACACCATGTAATAAGCTGTCTGTGTAATAAGACTAAAACTTAACTAAATAGACCTTCACTCATCCACTTAACAAATTCCTACTATCGTCTAGTGACTGGCATATGCAAAGACGGAAAGGAAAAATATCTAACATTTACTGAATGCTTGTTACGGGTCAAAAGTGGAGTCACTTGCGTACATCTCAGTCATGAAACTCAACTGTCCCCATTGAAAAGATGAGGTGTCTGCTCCCACGGAGAGGAGCAGCACTAACTCCTGACGTTCAGGTTCCCGCGGTGAAAGGGGTCTAAAGCGTCAGCTGCCAATCAAAAAACCACGCGGAAGCCTCTCCCGGAAGTCCCTTCGGGGCGCGTGTCAGCGCAAAGGCGCGAGCTCGGAGCTCATACCTTTGCGGGATTCCGCGCGGGGCTGCGGGGAGGAGGCGTCCATCGGGCCAGGGGGAGGCGCCTGGCAGCCCCGCCGCTCTCGACATCTAGCGGTCGGCGGCGAAGAGGGCACGGCTCGGAGGCCGCCCGCCTGGCATCGCCCGCCGGAGCGCAGAGTTCGGGGTGGGCGTCACCGCAGCGACCAGCCGCAGTGCCGAAATCCCGCGAGAACGACCCCCTAGGCGCTCCCGGCAGATATCGCGAGAAGATGGGTTAGCCTCCAAGCCGGCTCCGGCGAGCTACCTTCTGGACTCGGTCGGCCCGGTCGATCTGCGGACGTCCAAATATCGCGAGATTTGGTACTCATCGCCGACTTTGAACTTTTATTTATCTATTTATTTTTGCTGAGGCTCCAGGCGCGTGGCGTTCCCCAACAGCGGGAAAGGACAGTGTGAACCTTGCAAAGATTGCTGTCCTTGTGCTGGCTTCGTCGTCTGGGAGCTTCAGGAGAGCGAGCTTTAAGAGGTCGTCTTATTGGGTTTACCTAGTTTATTGTAACAAAACCAGCAGGCCTTGCACAAACAAGGTAAACAAGGGGGGTTCGGTTAACTAACCCCGGAGTTTTAGCCTCGTGAAACGCCCTGATGAAGAAGCGCACACCACGCAGCCTGTTACCCTCTCTAGCATGAGCTAAATGGATGCTGCCCGTTGTCTGACACCTCCCCGCCAAGTTAATGAAGCCAGAGTATCTTTTTTGCACTCTGTTACAATGTTACAGTGTTACAATGTTCGTGTGCTACGCAGTATGTCGTTGATTTAGCTGGAATAAGCCTCTTGCCTATTGCGGTTGTAACCGGTTCCCACAAAACTTTTTGTTTTAAACAGCATTAATGTCTTTATGATTTCTGTAGGCCACAATTCCTATATGGGTCTCCTGAAGCTAAATCCAATGTCAGAAGCTGCATTCCTTCCCGAAGGTGGAAGAAATCATGACTCCTCGACTTGACCAGGATGGATTCAGAGCTCACCAGAATAATCTCATTTCCATGTCTGCATTCTTAACCGCATCAGTAAAGACCCTTATGAAACGTAAAAAAAAGTTTATGGTTCCTGAATTTATAGAGACAAATTTCTTTTTGAGGGAATCATTATCCTGCCTGCTATAGGATCTTTTTTGAATACACTATGCCTGTCCTACAAAGCGATCTCCATTCTTTGCAGTCACAATAAGAAATGTTTGTTCATACAAATATGAAATGTATCCACTTAAAATTTACATGCTGCATAGGTTAATATTTTGACTGGTAGTTTATTGTACCATATTATTTTTGATCCATTGATTCTAACTTAAGATCCCCATCTATTATAGGACATGTTTCAGATACAACCATTGAAAACATTATTAATTACAACCTTTGATTCTAGCATACATTCTGATGTATTCCTTATCTTAAACTCTCCTCACATACTCTTTGAAATCGAAATGATAAATAGAAATTTTAATCAAGCTTGGTTTTTTGTTTTTTTTTTGTTTTGTTTTGTTTTTTTTTGTTGTTGTTGTTTTTTGCTACAAGAAAAGTTTGGCTCTTCCCCACTCTCCAACCTGCTATCCATTGATATCATTAATTGTATATTGTCTTGATTTCCCAGAAGTCTGTTGATTTAAGATGTCAATCCTTACAGAGCTGACCTGTAACTACAGGTGACTTGATAAACTCAAAATAAGTTTGATTTAAATAAAATAAATCAACTTGTCGAAGGAATATTCTTATGACTAACAAGAAAGAAGACACCTTATCCTTGAGTGTCGATTATGTCACCGCATTGCTATGCTTGTCCTGTACAATGAAACGGAAACAGTTGTAACATGAAACTATCTTAAAGATCTACGTGCTTCATGAAGTTAAGCATCTGTAACATTCTTCCTGCCTTTACCAGTAGCTGTTGTTCTTGCCGGTTGTCTGCCAGTCTCTTGTGGGGATGCTGATATTGTGACCCTCCAAACACTATAATGCTAATTATTTCAAAGTGAAATTGATATATTTGAGAATTTCTGAAGTCAATTATAAGTATTGTTGCATTGACTATGTTGCATGCAAAACCACTAGCAATAGAGAACCTAGAATAATTAAGCCAAATTAGACTATAACAATAGGATTGTGGTGTAGCGCACCTGGAATATAGATCATATACTTGACATGCATGAGACCCAAGGTTCAACCCTCAGCACCCAATACAATCATCATAGCATAAGCATTTCAAAAGAATTTTACTTGAATATTAAAGAGACTTTTAGCATTATTAACCCCCCAATACTTTATTAAAATTGGTTAATATTTAAGCTCACAATGTAAAAAAATACATATTGTGAGGCAAATAGGTCTTTAAAATGATGGATTAATCCATCAAAAGGCTCATAGAAAACAATAAGTATGAAAACAAAAATAACACAAGAATGTTGTTAAGTTTTATTAATTATATGAGTTTGGGTTGTAGCCTTTCTTTCTCCCTTGATCTATTGTCGCAGCCAATGAAAAGAAAGTGAGATGGAAGATGTAAGTGAGAGCAAGAGAAAAGAAATGCAGTGGATGTGTCCTTGTGTGCCAATAAGTCTTAACGTTTAGCATTTAAAAACCAAGGGTGTGGGGCTGTAGTTCAGTTGATGTATGGCCATCATACATGAAGCCCTGTGTTCAACGCCCAGCACCACATGAACAGAGTGGTGACACACACCTGTAATCCCATCACTAGGGGTATAGAGGCATAAGGATCAGAAGTACAAAGTCATTTGCAGCCTCAGCAAGCTTGAGGCCAGCCTGGGTTATAGAGGCTCTGTCTCCAAACAAAGGTCTGTGTGTGTATAGGCAAGAGCTCCATCACTGAACTGTGTTCCCAGCCTTCCTGACTTGTTCTTATATAAGGTCTCTAAAACCGTGTACAGAAGAAATCTTTAGATTTGAAGAATTAAAGCCTGTGACTTTGATGTAGTATTCCATTTAATGGCAGATAATAAGCCTGAAAATTCTGCAACTAAACAAGAACTGGTATTGTTTACTGATGGCCCAGTCAGTAAAGTGAGTTCAGATGGCCAGCATCTGTATAAAAAGTCTAGGAATGGGTATGTGCACCCATAACCCTGGTGCTGGTTGTGGAGGGAAGAAGACAGGTGGATTCCTTAAGCTTTTATGCAGTCATTTGGTGAGCTCTGGTTTCAGCCAGAGACTCCAAAATGATTAGGTGGAGATCAAGGAAGACATGTATTACCAACCTCTGGCCTCTGTGCATATACATATGTTTACACATATGAACACAGGTACACACAATCACCCATAAGTACTGGATGAAATATTTCTGTCAAAATACTAAGATGTATAATTTACCTCTCAAAAATATATTACAGCACACAGGACATCTACGTAAGGAACTGAAAGCTGGCTTATTGAAGTGGTACTTAACCCACTGCTATCATGAAGGCATTAACCTGTCTCAGTTACATAACCATGAATTTTAACAGTCATTGGCAGAAGATAAAGCTTTCATCCTCACAGAGTCTTATTAAAGCCCATGTTGGAAGTAAAACTCTCCATTTAAAATAAGAAGATTTGAAATACAATGTTCTTCACGAAATGGCAAACTTAAAGAAACACCTAAACGATGGAAAAAGGATGTGCTTGAGGATCCTTTTCAAGGATTTTCTATGCTGTTGATTTTTATGATATTTTCCTGTATCTGCAGCATACAGATTTAGAATTTTCATTTGCACACAATCTGGAAATCCCCAAAATAATAAGAGTGAAGTACCAGATTATTGCATTCAGTTAGTTGGAAAGAAACAAGTGCATCCTTTCAAGTGAGAACCATGTTAAAGATTCACAGATCTCAGAGAAAAAGCCCTATCCTGAAATTTACAATCCCAAAACTGAAACAAATATACAAAAACAAGCCATCATGAACAAGATCCACCATAAAATGTTTGCAATAAAAATAGTACCCTGGTAATTTTCATTATTAGAATAATAGGTATTTTTTAACTGTCACTCAAATATTTATTGATGTTTTTATATACTGGACAGAAAGCAAGAGAGTAAATAAAAGGCACCGTCAAGAAGTACTAGATAAGCAGGCACACAGTTTAATCTCAGCACTCAAGAAAGCAGAGTCAGGTAGATCTCTGAGTTTGGAGCCAGCCTGGTCTGTATAGGGAATTCCAAGCCAGCCAGAGCTACACAGTGAAACCCTGTCTCAAAAAAGTCTAGATAGATTATTTTTAAATTCTAGAAATGTAAATTTTAGTTATTGAAATCTAAAACTCAGTGGTAAAATAAAGAGCATATGAAACACATCTTAACAAAAAATTATGAACTGAAAGCTCTGCGGGAATGTCCCCAAATACAGTGTAAAAGACCAAGAAGCCGTGAAACAGAAAAGAAAGAAAAAAGCAAATTCAGATGAAAGGTGAAAATCTAATTGAAGACCTAGAAGTAAAGACTAGAGAGCCTGAGAGAGACAATGCTCAAAGAAATCTCTGATGTCTTTAGACGAGGGAAGTATGCAGAGTGGTGTGTATAAATAAAATGCATTACTAGACATAGAAGTGAAACTACAGAAGAAAGTAGCAAAGAATCTGGAGATCTTGAGGGTCTGTAAAAAAGGTCAGATTACCCCTCAATGGAATGACACCAAGACGAGCAGACATCTCCATAGTAACACTGAAGTCTGAGACAATAGAAGAGCGACTTCAAAGTGCCAACGGGAGATAGCTGCCAACCTAGATTTTAATTAAGGCAAATAATATTTTCAGACAAGACCAGTGGGCTTTCACTACAGAATCTGTTAAAGGATTTTGAACTTAAAATTTTAAATTGTAAGAAGGAATGATTAGCCTAAAAAAATTGGTAGGCAATTACTGGCCTTGTAAAGCAACAACCAAAACAATAGAAACAATTTGAATATATGAAAATAAAAGAAAATAAGAATGTTGTATAATAGCATACAACATGACTACAATGCTGCAGCTTAGATGTTGCATAACTTCCAAAGTTTCACGCGAGAAATCCTTACTTGCCAGCCTGGCACTCCTGGGAGGTAACGAAAACTTTTAAGAAGTAGAGGCTAGTGGGAGGGCTCAGGTCACTGGAAACATACCCTTAGAGGAGACACTGAGATCCCAGGCTCTCCTCTTTTTCTCTTTGATTGGTGGACACCACGAGGTAAGTAGCTTGTTGTACCATGTACCCTTGCCATAATATGTCAGGCCCAGAAACACTGGGGCCAAGGCACCATCAGCTGAAACCCCCAAAACGGAAGCAAGCAGTTTAAGTTACAGTAACAGACTGCTGCAGACAGTGAAGGCATGTGAAGAGTTAAAAGATGCCTTTGCTGGAAAGGAAAGCAGGCATTGATGAACTTCTGATGGAGACTTCACATTAAATGTTAGTATAGTTAAATATTAAAGGGGCATACAAGTTTTCAATAGGAAAAGATAAAACTCAGTCACCCCAATGTAAGGCAGGTATTATAACATAAATATGAAATTTCTCACCCAGGGGAGCCACTGAATTCTTGACTCACAGCTGGCAGCCCTGGTTTGGATGGTTCTAGAAACGTTAGGGGATGGAATCTTGTTTCAGGAGGTAGGTCACTGAGATCTTCTCTCCCTTCCTTACTCTGCTTCTATCCTCCATAAAATTAAACAAGTCCTGCAGAAGATAAAAGGCTTCTACTGCTGTGTTCAGCTTCACTGTGACCCTGAAATTCATACAACCTAGTACTGGAGGATACGTGTTGTTGCGTTGTTTACTCTTCTACTCCTGGGGGCCTGCCACCCAGCTCCCAAATAAATCAAATGGAAACTTATTACTTATTGAATGCCCAACCTTAGCGTGGATTGTTTCTAGTCAACTTTTCTTAAATTAGCCCATCTACTTTTTGCCTCTGGGCTTTTATCTTTGTCTATTTCTCTATACCTTTCCATGGCTTATTGTGTAGCTGGGTGACTGACCCCTGGTGTCCTCTCTCCTTCTCTTGTTCCTTGATCTTCTCTTCCCAGATTTCTCTTCCAATTTATTCCCTCTGCTTGCAAGCCCCACCTGTCCTTTCTCTGCCCAGCTATTAGCTATTCAGCTCTTTATTAGACCAGTAAGGTGTTTTAGACAGGCAAAGTAACACAGCTTAACAGAGTTAAACACAAGCAATGTAAAAGAATGCAACATCTTTGCATCATTAAAACAAATGTTCCACAGCATAAATAAGTTTAACACATCTTAAAATAATATTCCACAACAATATGTAGTCCGAACCAGCCATTTTTTGTAACCAGGCTAGGTCCCCAGTGGTGGGACCAGGACATCAACCCAGTCACGAAATCTTCAACCCACACCTGTCTAGTCTGCAAGATGTGCTGGAGCAATGACAGACAGCTCAGAGCTTGTGGGAGTGGCCAACCAATGACTGGTCTAACTTGAGGCCCAAGCTTCAAGAGGAGGCCCATGCCTGACAATGCCTAGATATACAGGAACTGGGAACTGGATGGCTCAGAGATTCCTAGGGTAGAACTAAACTGACAAAAAAAAAAAAAAAAAAGTCAATGAAATGGTTCTTAATGATATTTTGCTATACTCATAGATTGGTACTTCGCCCAGTCATCATCAGAGAGGCTTCCTCTGGCAAAAGATGGTAACAGATGCAGAGACCTACAACTGGAGACCATGCATTTGTTTTCCAGCTGCCCAGACCGGAAAATCACACAGAAACTATATTGATT